CTCCAATAATTCGTCGTCCTTTTATCTGTGAGCTCTTTACACTTTGTACATTTTAAATGCAGTGTTTATCATATTCCATTAGAGTCAGTTTTTTTTTTTACAGATTTATACAGAAAACGTATTTATTTCTAAATCTCTAACTCTTTACCACCGTACCACATTCATTGTAAGAAATTGTAGTGAACAGTGGATCTTTTTGGATGCTTCTTACCTTTTCTGTGTGTCTTTCCCCCAGTTTCAATGTGAGTTTTTTCGAATGACCTGCACCTTCAACTCAGTTTGGGGAAACTCCCTTTGGGTGTTCTAACCATGCTTTATCCAGGGAGCTGAAGTTATCAGCAATTCACATCCCCTCATCCTGTGGTTCATAACCAATAACTCACAAGTGGAGAGTAAAAGTCTCTACTGAGGTTCTGAAGTATAATTTACATTCTCCACCTCCCTGCAGGATCAGGTTGAAGCTGAGTCTTCATCTGAAATTTAATCCCTACATACTTAGTTTCCCAGCAGAGACAGGGAAAAATCCCCTATTTCCATTGCTGGTTTCTTCTGAGAGGACTTCCTTTAGTAAGTCGTATGCACATGAATCTTCATCTCAGGGTCTACTTCCAGGAAATCTGACCTCAGAGAATATCCAATTAAATTTTAAGAAATGGCTGAACGAATGTGTAAAAGATTCAATCCTCAAAGCCTTAAATTAATTGTGATTATTCATATACAGACACAGATAACTGGTCTGGTTAAGAATATTTTTCATTTGTGATGACAAAATAGAAAGCCAAATGATTAGAAGATAAATTGACAACTGATTGGAAAGAAAATCATAAAATTATATTTTTATATTAAATAGGTTTAAAGAGCCATGTTTGTATAATGGAAAGAGCATGAACTCTGAGGTCAAATACATCCTATTTCTGAAATGGATGAAGTCTTCATATGTTCTAACATATTAAAAAATTGTTTTTCCTAATCATCTATATATCTATCCAGCCATCTATCTGTTTATCTGTAACTATCCATTTATTGGCAGAGACCACATCATGTAAAAAATAGACATGTGAAAGAGCTCTAAACTGTTCAGAGAAAATTTACAACTTTGGGGGTTAGACTCATCTGGCACGTGGCAAGAAACAAGAGATGAAGCTTTGGGAAGTAAGTCATTGATAGACTGAGAATCATCTTGCACAGTGAAAGCATGCAGACATTGGACTTCATCATGCAGATGCTGGAGAATTATCATTAATTATTAAGCAGGAAAATAGTCTGATTGAATATGTGTGTTTAAAAGGGATTTGTAGAAGACATTTGGAAGAAAATCAGATGGAAAATCAGATTTAATATACCTTTGATAACCTCACATTAAAGGCTTTTTATGTCATAAAACCAATAGATATTTTTTACTTTGGGAAGGTGTGATAAATCTATATTGTTAAAAATATTTTCTTCTAGAAAAGCTACCAGTAAACATTTGGGAATTTTAGATAAAAACATATATATGTGAATATACACATATACACACACATATGAGAGAGAGGGGGGACTCTCCATAATTTTGAATCAACTGGGTTCAATGTAATTTTTTATTAAAACTTGATTTGTCCTGTTACAGGTTTTCTGCTAAGCACATTTTAAAACAAAATTCTTCTTTAGTATGTTAGTGTGAATTTGTACCTTTTCATTTCAACAAATTCTATAGAATAGTAGATTTTATTTCTTGTGCTATTATTTTGAAAGCTTTAACATTTAATAATTTTGGTTTGCTATATAACAACAGTATCAATGAGAAAATATATACATCATCACAAAATCTGTCAAAATTTGTAAATACATTTCACACTTTACAAGTAAAATCACTACTTTCTTTCCCAAACCTGTCACAAAAACATTTAATTAGTGTACAGAAGAAAAATTTGGCTTATATTGTTCATTTACTTGTATGAGTTCTATTAGATTTCTGGTTCAACCCCTAACCAGAAACCAGGGCCCTAACCCTAACCCAGGGTCCCTTTGCTTTGCTTTCCTTTAAGCTCTGAGTCAACCAATTACAGTCCACATATATTAGTCAAAAAAATAACAATTTATTTCAGTTTAAATTGGGTATAAAGCGAGTACATGTTTTACGGATTCATGCTGATCCTTTGTTTTTCAAAGCATCCTTTCCCTTTCTCTCCACCTAATCACATCTCATATGGTTTGGCTGTGTCCCCATCCAAATCTCATCTTGAATTGTAGTTCCTAGAATTCCTTGTGTTATGGAAGGGACCCAATGGGAGATATAACTGAATCACGGGGGCAGTTTCCCCCATACTGTTCTCGTAGTAGTAAATAAGTCTCACGAACTCTGACAGTTTTATAAGGGGAAACCCCTTTTGCTTGACTCTCATTCACTTCTCTTGTCTGCTACCACGTGATACATGCCTTTCACCTTCCACCATGATTGTGAGGCCTCCCCAGTCATGTGGAACTGTGAGTCCATAAAATCTCTTTTGCAAATAGCCCAGTCTCACGTATGTCTTTCTTAGCAGCATAAAAATAACAAATAAATCACCCTTCCCCTCAAAACCCAGTTATATATGAAGGCTTTCCAGAGAATCCCAGAAAAAATAAACTTCATTTTGTGAACTCTTACAGCTTGTATTGTATGTGGTAGACATGGTAGAATTTAAGTTTTTCTACTATATGTTCTTTTTTAACCATTTTATTCATTTTTCTTGTTTCCTTGTTGAAAATTATAAGCTTACTGATTCAATTTTTATGGGTTATACCACTTGGACAGCTCCCCCTCCCCACCTTACTCAGCCCCATGCTGGGCATTATTAAGGAGTGAGTGTGTGCTGATTAAATTATGTACAACAGCTAATTTCAGAACAGACCTTAGCCAAATAATAGAGCAGAACATAGCCTCTCTGTATATGCCCTCTGTATATACCCTCTTTGGACTATTTTCTTCAGAGTTTCCTAATACCTATTGTTGTAAAAGAAGAGGTGTGACAATTAGATTCCTGGTAGAATGAAATCTCAAATTTTTCTAGGATTAAATGAATGTCTTATATCACAAGAGTTTATAAAAACTCTTATCTCACATAAAATATTTAATGGCTATAAAGAGACTTGAAATTATGAACTCAATATGGCAAAGTTAAAGATTGCTCAGGCTGTCTAGCTAAGATATCAAAGTTGCCAATATAACTCAGTGTGAGGTGTAAACAAGTGAAATGGGTGGAGTGGGGTGGAGAGGGAAGAATAATAATTTTATTTGGGGCTTTCTGATCAAATCCGATTACACTGGAAGAGGAGTTGGTGATTTTTCAGCCAATCAGTATGAGGTGGCAAAGTTCGACTGGGCTCAGCTGGTAGAACAGAAACTCTTGTTTCGCTAATCATGTAGCTAAAGTTGCACATTACGAGAAAGAGGGCCCCTCTCACTTGGAGTCCGATACCTTGTGTGAGTAGATCACTGTATGCTATTCCAGAATTCTATCCTCCCTTTCAACATAAATGGTGACTTATGTGAATAAGGTAGGTATGCCGGAGGTAGGATCCCCCAATAATCAAAGCTGTTTGTGTTCCTTGTTCTGATCAAACTTTTAGATGTCATTAAGGAGGTCTGCATGACTTAAAGATTGCTTTTCTTAAAAAAAAAATAAGCTAATTAATCTTGTGAGCAGCTGCAGGGGTTAGGAGAGGAAGTTAATAAATTACTTGTGACTACCGTTTACCAAAATGATGACATGCAAGCAAGCATGCACAGAGGAAAAAAAGGAAAAAGAAAAAACTAAAATGTATTATGATTCCTGTAATAAAGGCTCAATTGCATGTATGGCCCACATTTATTTCAATGTTTAACATTAGAAGTGTTTTGGGTCTTTATTTAAAAGTTGGTGATGTTTTGTGACCAGAAATATGCCACAGGAACTTAACTCTTGTTTATATCAATTAGCTTATGGTAAAATTGTCTTTTTGCTTAAAGTTGCAGTTTCCAAGAACATACCAACAACTTAACTAAGGATTTTCTGTGTGTGTAACAAAAAGTTCTGTTAGGTCCTAGTACTACTATTTAAGTACTAGTCATTGTTTACCTTGAGAACATGTTTGTAGTGAGTTCTGTATGTGTGGCTATATAAAACGATGAGATTTCTTCTAGTCTTTGAAAACTCTTTAATGAATTACCTGTGATGTACATCACATTTCAGTTTAATAATAAAACTTTTTTTTGTTTTTCTCTTCTGTCATTTTGGAGAGGTTTTCGATGCTGGCAGGAGACTTTGTTTTTAATTATATTTCCCCAACATCCAAAGACTACTTCAGAAGATGTATTCAATTTTTGGATTGGGGAGGAGAGGTGGAGCAAGAAGATAGAATGGAAAGCTCCATGGATTATCCCTCTGGCAAGGACAGCAATTTAACAACTATTTACACAGAGAAAAAAACACCTTCATAACAACTGAAAATCAGGTGAGCACTCATAGTACCTGCTTTTAACTTTATATCACTGAAAGATGCATTGGAAAGATAGAAAAACAGTTGTGAATTGCTGAGACCACCCCTTCCCTACTCCGGCAGCAGTGGGTTGGTGTGGAGAGCATCTCTGGGTGCTGGGCAAGGGAGAATACAGCAATTGTGAGGCATCAAACTCAGTGTTGTCCCATTAGAGCAGAAAGGAAAATCAGACCAAACTCAGCTGACACCTGCCCAAAGAGGGGGCATTTAAACCAGTCCTAGGCAGAGGGGAATCTCCAATCCCAGTGGTCCAAATTTTAGTGCCAGCCAGAAAACCTCCCCACCAAGGGACAAAGTACTCTAAGTCTCTAAGTAAATTTAAAAGGCAGTCTAGGCCATAAGGACTGCAACACTTAGGTGAGTCCTAGGACTGAATTAGGCCCAGAGACAGTGGACTGAGAGGGCACGTGACCTACTGTGATGTCACAAGTCAAAAAAGTGATGGTGTCACCCCTCCTGTAACTCCAGGCTTCAGAGCTTGTGGCTCCAAAAGAGAACCCTTCCTTCTGCCTAAAAAGAGTACAGGGAAGAGCGGGGAAGACGTTGTCTTGCATGTTGGATACCATGTTAGCCACATCAAGATAGGGCACCTAGGTTAGAGTCATGAGGACCCCATTCCAGGTCCTGGCTCCCAGATAACATTTCTAGACATGCCCTGAGCCAGAGGGGAACCCCTCTGCCTTGAAGGAAATACCCAGTCCTGCCATCATTCATCGCCTAATAACTGAAAAGCCCTTGGGCTATGAATAACCAGCAGCGATAAACAGGTACAATATCAAGGGCCTTGGGTGAGCTTCTGAGACTTGCTGGCTTCCACTGTCACAGGCAAATAGAGCACCAGACAGGCTCTTGGGGCCCCCAATTCCAGGATGTGACTCTTGGATGGCATTTTGGGATCTTCCCTGGGCCAGATGGGAGCACACTGCCCTGAAGGGTGAGTCCCAGGCCAGGTGGGATTCACCAAAAACTGACTTAAGATACCTAGGGCCTTAAGGAAACATCAGTGGTGGTCTGGCAGTACTCCTCATGGTGGTGGCTATGGGGCGAGGCTCCTCTGCCTTTGGAAAGAGGAGGGAATAATGGGGTGTCCACTCCCTCAAGCTCAAAAGAGATGTTAGCCCACAACAGAATTTTATGGAAACCAACTAGAGTGAAATCTTGTGGTTTGAGGGCCAGCTCAGCTGCAGTACAATAGGACACCAGGTAGACCTCTAAGGATTTGTATTCTAGTCCCTGACCCCCTGAGGGTACTTCTGGATCCACCTGGTGTCTGGGGATCTTGCCACTCTGAAAGAAAAGTCACAGACCTGGCTGACTTTGCCACCTGCTGGTTGTAGAACTGTGGGACCTTGAGTGAGTATAGGCAGTAGCCAGGAATGGTTGTAGCAGGCTTTGGGTGAGATCCAGTGCTCTGCAGGCTTCAGGTCTGACCCAGTGTAGTTATAGTGGTGGTGACCAGAGAGGTGCTTGTGTCACTCCACCCCCAGCTCCAGGTGCCTCGGAACAGAGAGATACAGAGACTCTGCATGTTTGGGAGAAAGTCAGAGAAGAGTACAATAGCCTCTGCCTAGTAATCCAGAGAATTCTCCCCGATCTTGTCCAGGACCATCAAAGTCGTACCTCTACAAGTTTGCATGAACCAGTGTTACTGGGCTTGGGATACCCCATAACACAGAAACAGCTCAGATCACAACACCCAAGCCTTTTCACATATCTGGAAAGCCTTTTCAAGAAAGACAGCTACAAATAAGCTAAAACTGTGAAGACTACAATAAATACCTAACCCTTCAATGCACAGATGCCAAGAACATCTGCTAGCATCAACACCATCCAAATGAAGTAAATAGAGTACCAAGGAACAATCCTGGAGAAATAGAGATATATGACCTTTCAGGCAGATAATTCAAAATAGCTGTGTTAAGGAAACTCAAAGAAATTCAAGACAACACAGAGAAGGAATTCAGAATTCTATCAGATAAATTTAACAGAGATTAAAATAATTAAAAGGAATAAAGGAGAAATGAAATTCTGGAGCTAAAAAAAATGCAATTGACATGCTGAAGAATGTATCAGAGTCCTTTAGTAGCAGAATTTGATCGAGCAAAAGAGGAAGTTAGTAAGCCTGAAGACATGCCATTTGAAAATACGCAATCAGAAGAGACAAAAGAGGAAAAATAAAAAACAATAAAATATGCCTATAGGACCTAAAAAACAGACTCAAAAGGGGAAATCTGAGAGTTATTGGCCTTAAAGAGGAGGCTGAGAAAGAGATAGGTGTAGAAATTTTATTCAAAGGGATAAATAATAACAGAGAACTTCCCAAACCTAGAGAAAGACATCAATATCCAAGTACAAGAAGTTTATAGAACACTAAGTAGATTTAACCCAACTACCTCAAGGCATTTAATAATCAAATTCCCAAAGGTCACATATGAAGAGAGGATCCTAAAAGCAGCAAGAGAAAAGAAATAAATAACATACAAATGGCACTCCAACATGTCTGGAAGCAGACTTTTCAGTGGAAACCTTACAGGCCAGGAGAGAGTGACATGACGTATTTAAAGTGCTGTATGAAGAAAACAAACCAAAAACCTTTTACCCTAGAATAGTGTATCTGGTGAAAATATCCTTCAAGCATAAAGGAGAAATAAAAACTTTCCCAGAAAAACAAAAGCTGGGGTTTTTCATCAGCACCAGACCTGTCTTACAAGAAATGCTAAGGGGAGTACTTCAATCAGAAAGAAAAGGACATTAATGAGCGATAAATATTCACCTAATGATAATAAAACTTTCTGGTAAGAGTAAGTTCACAGACAAAAAAGAATATTATAACACTGCAATTGTGTTGCATAAGCTAGTCTTATCCTAGGTAAAAATACTAAATGATGAACCAATAAAAAATAATAACTGCAAATTTTCAAGACATAGTACAATAAGATATAAATAAAAACAGCAAAAAGTTAGAAAGCTGGAGGATGAAGCTAAGGTGAGTTTTTATTAGTTTTCTTTTTGCTTGTTCTTGTATTTGTTTACACAAATAGTGTTAAGTTGTTATCAGGTTAAAAAAATGGATTAGAAGATAGTATTTATAAGCCACTTGGTAACCTCAAACCAAAAAACATACAACGAATACCCCAAAAATAAAAATCAAGAATGTTAAGTGAAATAAACCAGACACAAAAGACAAACATCACAAGTTCTCACTTGTTTGAGGGATCAAAAAAATCAAAACAATTGAACCCATGGATATAGAGAGTAGAGGGAAGGTTACCAGAGGCTGGGAGGGATAGTTGGGAAGAGGTTGTGGAGGAGGTGGGGAAGGTTAACGGGTATAAATAACAGAAATAATAAGACCTACCATTTGGTAGCAGAACTGGGTAACTATAATCAATAATGACTTAACTGTTCATTTTAAAATAAAGAGTGTAATTGTGTTGTTTGCAACTCAATGGAGAATTTGCTTGAGGGGATGGATACCCCATTCTTCATGATGTGCTTATTTCATAGAGCATGCTTGTATCAAAACATCACATGTACCCCATAAATATATACATCTACTATGTATCCCTAAAATAAATAAATAAATAAATAAATAAATAAATAAATAAATAAATAAAACAAAAAAAATGTGGATTGGGGAGGATGTAGGTTAGTTACCTTTTTCAAGGTAGGCTAACCAGTCTTCTACCTTTATCAAATGTAGGAGGTCAGCTGTCATGTTATCTGTTGATGTCTGCTCACAAAAGTTCTCAGCTACTTGGAAATCCATCATCAAACATAATTCCTTCTGTAATGTAATATCAAGCATTACAATGTGCCAATAATAATTTTCCAGGTTTCTTCTGGTATTTTCATATAAAGTTTCCTAATTTTTAACAGAATATCCTTGTACTTTGATAGTTGTCTGGGCTTGGCTTCCTCCTACCTTTTCAGATTTTGATAAATCAATTGAGTTACTTTGTGGGAATATAATATCTTTCTTGGTAATCATAAAAGCATTAGAAGGATGTCCAATAACAGGAATAAAACAGTATTACTGATTTTTTTTCCATCTGGCACATCTTTTAGAAGGCTAGATTTAACCAGGGCTATTAGCAAAATTTTTGGTATTTTTATTTCTTTCTCTCTTTCTTTCCCTTTATCCCTACTTAGATATTTCACTCAGATCTAAGGTTATTTTCTCCAAATCCTCCTCATGAGATTTCGCTCTCATAATCTACCTTAAAACGTTTCCTACCTAATTCCAAAGATAAGTAGCCAGCCACCCTTGAATCAGGCCCTCATCATGTTTTTAGATCCATCCTTTTTTTTTTCTAAAAAGTATGCTAGGTATTATGATTTGTGGGTCTGAAAGACAATCCTGCCCACTAAAAAATCTGATCTAACTCAAAAGATTGGGTTTCCCCAAATCATAAATCTTGCTCATAATCAATAATTGCTCATTATTTCTAGAATATTATAATTAAAAACATAAGTAAAGCAGGGAGAAATCCAGGATCTCTAATGCAGCTCCCCTGTCCTTTCGTTCCACAATGCTCTGACTCAGATTAGAGTATTCAGTCTTAAAGTGATGTTTGTAGTCAAATCATTTACACAGAGGAGACTTTAGGTCATGCAGCATCTCCATTTATATTCTAACAGCTATCAACTTAGGGAACATTATCCAGGAAGTTTGTACCCCATAAATCTGTATGCTATAAGCTTACTTAAATAATCCTACACAACTAGGTTCATTATGCTAAAAGAAAACCATAGAAAGATTCACTTGCTGAAAAATATCTTCAAATCGTCTATATGGAGGTCTACCATTAGCAAATTTAGAGGGAGATTTTTTTTCCAGCTTTTATTTTAGATTTGGGGGTAAATCTGCAGGGCCGTGACATGGGTAAATTGTGCGATGCTGAGGATGGGATATGACTGATCTTGTCACCCAGGTAGTAAGCATAGTACACAATAAGTACTTTTTCAATCCTTGTCCTCCTCCCTACTCTACTTGTCCCCATTGTCTATTGTTCTCATCCTTATGTCCATGTATAAACAATGTTTAGTTTCCACTTATATATAGGAATATGTGGTATTTGGTTTTCTGTTTCTGCATTCATTTGCTTAGGATAATGACCTTCAGATGCATCCATGTTGCTGCAAAGAACATGATTTCATTCTTTTTTAATGCCTGTGTAGAGTTCCATTGTGTATTTGTACCACATTTTCTTTATCCAATCCACCACTGATGGGTACCTAGGTTGATTCCATGTTTCTGCTACTGTGAATAGTGCTGCAATGAACATACAAGTGCATGTGTATTTTTGGTAGAATGATTTATTTTCCCTTGTGTATACCCAGTAATGGAATTGCTGGGTTGGATGGTAGTTCCACTTTTAGTTCTTTGAGAAATCTCCAAACTGAATTCCACAGTGCCTGAACTAATTTACATTCCCACCAAAAGTTTATGTGTTTCCTTTTCCCTACAGCCTCACCAACCTCCGGTCGCTTTTGTTTTGCTTTGTTTTTATTTTATAATAATAGCCATTCTGACTGTACTAATCCTACAAAACTCTTCCAGGAGGAAGGACTCCTCCCTAATTCATCCTACAAAGCCAGCATCACCCCAATACCAAAATCTGGCAAAGACACAATGAAAAATAGAAAACTACAGACCAGTATACCTGTTGAACATAAACACAAAAATCCTGAACAAAATGCTGCAAATCAAATCCAATAGCACATCAAAAAGTTAATTCACCCTGATCAAGCAGGCTTTATCCCT